TCCATCTATGCCCTTCATTTTAGGGGGCCAGGTGAAGAACTGTTTACAGAAATAATGAAAGGATGCAATTGGCTCCTGGGGCCTGGTATGGGACTCTAGTATCAGGGCTCACCCCAATGGTAGGCTAACCTATTCAGACAGTAGCATCTGTAATTGCTGATTTAAGTGAGAGAATTCACCATAAGAGAAATAGAAAGGTTGATAAAATCAAGGACACTAAAAAGGGGAATGCCAAAGATTGGGGCCCTACAAAGGTCTCCCATAAACAATTATGGCAGGATCTGGTATTAGCAGGCACCCCAAAAGAGAACACTGACAAGAAGCCACATTCAGTCCTAACCTTCTAGAAAGCTCTCCCAAAGGATAAACAATTCACTCCCTTTAGACCAAATACAGAAAAACCAGCAGTGCAACCTAGTGCCCATCCATTCCAGGAGGACTTTGAGGGGTGGGCGCCCCCATCCCTAGGGATTAGGGGTTGGACCTCTGGTGTATACAGTGGGGGGTGATCAGAGGCCCCATATAGAATTAACCATTTATTGGTCCACACTAGTAAACAGACAGTATTGGCTTTAACTGATCCAGGGGCTGCGTGCACTCTGACTTATGGCAATCTAGCTAAAATCAGAGGTGAGATTTGAGCCATTGATGGATATAAGGGCCAAACAATCAAGATTAAACAGACAAATCTGTACTTACATATTGGGTGGCTGCCTCCCTTCTTTTCCTGGTATATATTTTCTCAATTTCAGAATATATTTTAGGAGTAGACGTGTTCCAAAGCTTGAATCTGACAACCACTACGGGAGAGTTCAGGCTATGTACTTCAGTAGTCAAACCTGTATGGGCAGTGCATGCATGCTGGGACCCAGTAAAATTCCCCAGGCCTCGCTTGGGAATTACCATTAAGCAGTACAAACTGCCTGGAGATCATGATGAGATTACAGCTACCATTTTTTGAATTAGAGAAAGCAGGAATAATAAGCCGGCCCAAAGTTCACTTACCAGCCCTGTGTGGCCAGTTAGAAAGCCCAACGGCACATGGCGCATGACGGTAGATCACTGAGAACTGAACAAGTAACTCTACCCATACATGCTGCCATGCCTCACATACCTTCTTTACTGGAACAGGTATCTGCCTCCCTTAAGACATACCACTGTGTGTGCTGGATTTAGCAAATGCTTTCTTTAATGTTCTTTTAGATAGGTCATCTCAAAACCAGTTTGCTTTCACTTGGGATGGGAGACAATGGACCTTTCAGGTACTGCCCCAAGGCTACTTACATAACCCCACCATCTGTCAAGGCATGGTAGCAAGGGACCTGGAAGAGTGGAAAACAGTGTGTCCCTTAAAGTGTATCACTATACTGGTGATATTATGCTAACCACTGATGATTTGCCGTCTCTCTCCCAGGCTGCAGTATCTTTATAGGCACACCTGAAAAAACCGGGATGGGAAATAAATACTAAAAAGATACAAGGGCTGGGACAGTTGGTAAAATTCCTGGGAGTTATCTGGATGGGTAAAACAAAAGTTATGTCAAAGGCTGTCATTGATAAAATACAGGCTTTCCCTGTTCCTCAAACTGTGAAAGACTTATAAACTCTCATGGGACTATTGGGTTATTGATGCTCTTTTATTCCCCCATTTAGCTCAAATACTGAGACCCCTTTATGCTATGGTAAAAAAAAAAGGGGACTGGGTGGTATTGGGACATCTCTCTATGAGAAGTGTTTGATAAGACTAAGACAGTGGTAAAACAGGTGCAAGGGTTAGGAGTGCTGATGCCAGATGTGAGATGTGAATTGGATGTTGGTTTCTGTTCAGAGGGATTTGGGTGGGGCCTGTTGCAAAGACAAAATGGGAAACATTCCCTTAGGAGTTTGGTCACAGCTGTGGAAGGGTGCAGATATAGCCCTATTGAAAAACTTTTGTCTTTATATCTGGTCTTGTAGAGAACAGAGGGCTTAACAACTGACCTGTCAGTGGAAGTATGTGCCTTCCTGCTGGTATGTAGGTGGATGGACTAAGGACATGTTCTTAAAACCAAAGAGCACATGCACACAGATAAGCACTGCAGAAATGTCATGCATATTTACAGCAAAGAAGTGCAGATAACACCAGCCCATTGTCTCAGGATCTGCATGCTTTACTGGGAACAGTCACGCACGTGGACCCAGATCCCATTTCAAAGATCATGGACATTGCTCCACCTCTCATGCAAGTACAGGAGGGGGTGGGCACTCCTCCCCCTGATACCTGGCACACTTATGGTAGCAGCCAAGGGAATCCACCTACCTGGCATTCCTGTGCCATCTGGTGGGATTCTGATGTTATCTGTTGTGAAGAAGGAACTGGGCAGAGTAGCCAGTGGGCCGGGCTATGAGTGGTGTGGATCATAGTGACCCATGAACTGATGCCACTAAATATAGCCACTGACATCTGGACTGTTGAGAAAGGCTGGATGCCACACTGGGCTGTTTGAAAAGGCTGGATGCCACAATGGCACCATGAAAATTGGACTGTTCTTGGAAACCTGTTATGGCGATCTGAGCTATGGAGAGACATACAGGAAGTATATACACAGCCAACAGCTCAGGTGTCTGGATGACATGTCTCTGCTCACTCCCCAACTACCCTGCCAGGCAACCATGAGGCTGACACACTTGCCAAGGCCTGACGTGCTCTGCCAAAGGATCTGATGACACACTCTGACGTGGCAGATTGGGTGCACTGTAAATCTGGCCATCGAGGACAAAAGGCAATTTGGAAAATAGTAAAAAGGCTTCATTTACCAATCAAATATTCAGATTTGCAAGGCTGTTCACAATGCCAATTGCAGAGACCCCCACTGGGACATATAGTAGGACACATTGGACGATCTACCCACCTAGTCACCAGATGGGAGGTAGATTACACTAAGTATATTTTAACATGCGCAGACACTGCAACTAGATTTGTGCAAGCCCTGCCTGTAAAAGGGTGAATCAGGCTGGCACTACAAAGGGACTCACCAAGTTAAAAAATATATGTGGGACCCCGCACCAAATTGACAGTGACTAAGGACATGATGTGCAAGAGTGGGCTGAGGCTTACAACATACTGTGGACTTTTCATTTGCCTTATAATCCTATGGCTGTAGGTCTCACAGAGAGGATGAATGGCAGATTAAAACCACCCTGAAAACTTTATCACCAGACGGGAACCTAAAGGAATTGTCCCCTCACTTGCCAGAAGCCATCAGACTGATAAATGCTACACCCACCGTGGGACACATGTCTGCTTATGACTGATTGGCTGCGTGTACAACAATCACTAGAGCTTTAAAAATGCAAATACAAGAAGGAGATTTGAGGCCACTCCAGGGGATGAAGGACTTGTTCTGTGATTGTCACATGACCTCCCACCAGGGAAAACTTTAGTAGATCGGAAATTAAAGTGGTATACCCCTCCCAGGTGGCTTGGTATCCTTATCCCATGGGGAGATGACCTACCTCTGGTGTCACACTCAATCCTCCTTTTTATTTAGGGGAAGGCCAATCTTAACCCTTGTGACTTACCCATGTCCTCTAAAATAGGGAACAGAAGTGCTTCTGTTGTTATGAGTGACAGCAGAAGCCCTCACTTATAACATGCTCACACCTGTTGGTAGCATCAAGGGCCAAAATATATGGTATAGCCCACTAGGGAAATTGCCAAAGCTGGGGGTGGTATTGGCACATGGTGATCAAACTGCATCTGTGTTATTGTTAAATGATCTGTCTTATCTAATACCTCTGAAACATTTATCTTGTCACCCATAGTTTCCTTCTCGTTGGACTCTTACCAATGACATCTGGGAATGTCTTCCGCTCCTGGGACGCCACGTATACTGAGACCCACAGCTGGTCTGACTGCTGAGTTTCTGGACTCCTGCCCAGAGAGGAACCTGTACTTTGATCGGACTAGAATGTTTTGTAATTTTTCATATGAGGCTACTGTAAGTGATTCGCTTTCTCATATGAAGCAGGCTGTTAGTCATGTAGACCATCTTTCTTTTGCAGATGCTTTTACTGGACGGCTTACTTCTCTTCCTGGGAAATGGGGAACTGTAGTTTTTGGCATCTTTCTCTGCTTTATAGGTATATTATGCTCCTGTTGTTTCTTGTGCTGGTCCAGGATAAAAATACAAACCATCACCTGATATCTGGCCCTAGGGACGTTATGGAAAATTGGTGGCTAAGACTGTATGGGCCACAAAATGGTGTTGGGGGGTGGAGATGTTAGGGGTGAAGGAAACCAATTCCATTTTTTGCCCCACCTGCCATGTTGACTCCTGTGTAATCTCACTGAGCAGTTAGTTACATCTTAACTTTAGAGCAAGTTATAAAAGCAACATAGGTTTTAGGAATGATCCATTTACTACAGCAGGTGATGTCAGTGGTCTGAGCACTAAATCACAACAGCCTCCACCTCATGGATCACAGCGCACCTGGTCAATGATCTTATTATTTTATTTATGTTAAGATGCTTCCTTGAAGTTATTCTTAGCAACGGGATTTTGCTGTGTAAACATTGTCTAGCCTGCAGAGGGGGGCAACTCTCATCTGCTGACATTTGATTCTTTGCTGCACCCAGCTCTCCTGTCTATAAGTGGCTCCGATCAATAGATATCCCTAATTACTGAGTGGACCTACCACTTCCTTCTTCGGTCTCCAAGTACCTTTTCAATTTGGAGGGAATTATACTTTAACCCCCTCCTTGCGCACTGACTTAGGTTTCCTGACTTTTAAGTGAATTTTGTAATGTGAATTACAATGTATAATGTGTAATGTCCCTGATCTGGTTTATTTTTCCTAATGTAGAAAGTAGTGTGTATAGATAAGTTTCAGAAATATTGAAATAAAAAGCATGATTACCATTGCACCACTTTTAGGAGTCTTAGACTCTCAACCTCCTTTTCATAGATCTTTAAACTTATTCTGATTATTCATTTATTTTTAAAAAAATGCTTACTTACCCAATATGTGTCAGGTATGATGGAATGTACTGGAGATAAAGAGAATAAACAAAATGTATTAAATAAACATCTATGTAGAATTAGAATACTGTAATAGAAATACCAAGTTCTTGTTGGTTTCTGAATAAAACTTATTCTTCCATGATCCTGAGTCTGCCTGCTCTGTGCTGCCTGAAATTCCCGTTCCCTCTTCTCTCATTGTACAAACACCTCCCAGTCCCCACCATCCTTCCTATTCATTTGGAAAATTCCATCGTTTGAGCTTGAATACCAACTGTTCCTTCCTCAATAGTTTTAGTTAATAATTAATTCTTCTGTGATTCCATTGCCTGTTATGCCTACCTTTGTTATAATACATGCTGCACTGTGTTGTATCTCCTTATGTATCTTTTCCATTATTAGACTGATGGACATTCTGGAGGAGATTCCCTCTCCAAGGGGAGAATCTCCTCACCCACCTTGGGTAGCTGATATGTGTACCACAGGATCCCAGTCCTGGCAACCAACCATTTCTGTTGCCTATATCCCTGGTCTAGCATTTCCACCAATGCACTACCAACTTTGGCCAGAGCTGGCTCTTCTAAGAGTGGCAGAGTGCTTCTTTGTAAGAAGGAATTTTACTAATGGCAGGGTCTTAGAAATTTAAATTCATTAATCCCATACTGTAATTATTTTGCATCTGTTTTCTACTTGGAACCCTTAATAAAATCACATTTGTCTAAACCCAAAATAACTACAAGTCAGAATTCTTGGAGCCTTATGGCCAGATAATCTCATTTATTCCCAAATTAATGTCTCACTCAGACTCTACTGCTTTTCTTGAGCTCTGCATATACAAAGGTCACTTGGAAATCCTTTCTGGTAGAGGTGAGCTGGACCCAGCTCATCCCAGCTTATGAGAACCTATTGTGCTCATCTCTTCCCAACTCCTCTTTCAGTGACATCATCTGTGTAGTTTGAAATAGGCCATGATGTAAATTTTCATCATGGAAGTCAGCAAAGGCTGTAAACAGTCCCTCCCCCAGGAGAGCAGGTTCATCAGTACACCCCTGCTCATAGGAATATCAAAAGCAACTTGACCAGTTGGAAAGTTTTCTCCTCCTCAAAATGTCCTCTGCTGCTGCTTCTCGCTCTCTTTATGGATGGTATCACCAGTCAGAAACCTGTACACTATCTTTGTCTCCTTTATGCTCCTATTCAGTTGTCCTCAGGCATGATTGAGTCAATGTGCAGAAATTGCTAGTTGTTTCTTTTATCACTAGTAATTGACAAATGTAACTGAGCAGGTGGCAGCCCAGGCATATTACATTTCCTGGCTGCTGTTGTGTTTGGGTGTGGCCACGTACTGAGTTCTCAGAAATGGGGTGTAAACAGAAGATGTGTGTCGTATCTCCTCCAGGCTCTCTTTTCTCTTCCTACCCACTGCAAGCGAGATCTGGTGGCAGCCTAGCTTTGAACACCGAGGTGATGTTAATATCCTGGGACAGGGGGTTCTTCAAACTTTTTCCTAACATGGGCTTCTTTGTCAAATAATGAATCTCTTCTCCAGATAATGTTTTTAAATGAGTAAATTAAATTATATAGAATTATAACAAAACCCAATTGTACTGAAGTACAATTATTAACATTTTAGATAACCTAATTTGTTATATAGTCATATAGCAATTCTTTGTTAACACACTAAACAACAAAATCCAGCAGCCAACTTTTAGGTTTCTAATAATGTCAAAGCAGTGGTAAGTATGAGTACTACATCAAGATTCTTTAATAACTATATGGTAATATGAAAATATCTGTGATTTCAAATTGTTGGCCAATCGACAGGTATTGCTACTACTACTGTGATTTGTTGTCAGTACTCATAATTATTTAGGATTGCTAAACTTCATTTAGAGGCTAATGAAAATAAAAATGTAATTTCTTCTCATTCAGGTTCACAGAGCTCCTAAATTCTATCCATGAGTCTTTTGGGGGTCCATCAACCCCAGATTAGGAGCACTGGCAGAGGATGGCAGAGCTTCCATGATACCTGGCTTCCTGGATGACCTCAAAGTGCAAATCTACCGGGGCAATTACCTGAGAGAGAAATAAAGCCCCATCTCGCTTTCTTGTTTGGGTCATTGCACTGGGAAGTCTTCCCAGCACTCTTCCCTTCCCCTACCCCAGCAGTTCAACCTGTTTATATCTAACTATTAAGTAGCTCTAATTTGTGGTCCTCTTTCTGTCGTTACCATTGCTGCTTGGTACAGGTATTCTTAGGTGTTGCTTACAAACTGCTTCAGCTTTTTTTTTTTAAAACTTTCTCAAGGCATAATTTACAAACAGTTAGAATACGTGCATTTAAGTGCATAGTTCTGTGTGTCGACGAATGTATACACCAATGTAGACACTGCAATAAACATATAAAATATTACCATTCCCCCCAAAAGTTTCTTTGTGCCATTTCCCAGTCAATTTTGTCCCCTTCCTCACTGCCTCCTGTGCTTCCGGCTCCAAAAAAAATCACAGATCTGGGTTTTGGCACTATGGATTAGATTTGTTTTTTCTAGATCTGTTTGTTTTTCTAGGGTTTCATATAAATGAAATTATATAGAATGTACTCTTTGTGTCTGGCTTCCTTGATTCAGTGTAATGTTTTGAGAATTCATCTATGTTATTGAATTTATCGCTAGTTTGTTCCTTTTCATTGCTAAGTAGTATCTCGTTGTACGGATGTATCATGACATTTTTATCCATTCATTTGGGTTGTTTCAAGATTGGGGCTATCGTAAATAGAGCTGTTATGAATATTCATATACAGTTCTCTACATGGACAAAAATTTTTATTTCTTTTTTGGTAAATGTACAAGAGTGGAATGACTGGGTCAGATGATAAGTAAATGTTTAACTTTTGACAAATCCACAAAAAGCCTGCTGGAATTTATTGCTCTTGAGCTGTAGATAAATTTGGAGAGAATTGCTCCCATAACAACACTGAATCTTCTAATTCGTGAACATAGCTTATATTTCTCAGTTTGAATTTGCAGAGACTTGGTTTTCTGCACTTTAAGGTGGGTCTGGAAAAGCCTGGGCTTTTTAGCAAGCCCCTCTACTGGGACTTGAATTATGAACTCTGTTTCCTCTGCAGTGGGCAACAGATGAAATCCCTGCTCAGTTATTTCAGACTTCTGGCTCTTGTTTTTTTCTAGGCTCCACGGAGTCTCCCCTGTGCACGCACACCTCAGGGGTCAGTCGAGGATTTGAGAATAGTTTATACCCAGATTTCAGGGCTCTTCCCTCTGAGGCTTTCTCCTTCCTGGGATTTTCCTGCTCAATTTCCAGCCACTCCAACTACCTTCAGCTCCATAGTATGACACCTACAGGCCACAAGTCTGCAGTTTGCTACCTGAATTCAAGTTGTCCCGCACTTGGTCTATACACTAAGGTGTCTTGTTAGGTGAAAAGCCCTTAAAGCATGGCTCTCCTTCTTTCAAGGGTCAAATCCCCTCCATTTTCTGCCAGTTTTTGTCTTTTCTCTAGTGCTTTCAAATAATTTTTAAATAATTTAAATAATTCCCAGATTTAAATACTGTTATCTGCAAAATGCTAGTCCTTTGTAAGCCACTCTGCCATTTTTGCACCTAGAACTTCCTTGTCCATTTGTATTTCATTTAGTTGATCTATATATGTAATTTTATCTTACTATTTGGTTTTTATTTGTCTGATCTGTTATTTATTCCTTTTTCTCCCTTTTTGACTCCTTTTGTATTTGTCAACAAATTTTTTATTACTCTATTCCCCCCTCAGTTAGCTTGTCAGTTATTTAAACTACTTTAGCAATTTCTACTCTATTTTAGAAATTTCAATATGCATCTTTGACTTAATGAAGTATAATATAAATTGGCATTTTTACTAATTCCTAGAAAATGAAGGACCCTACAAAACTGTACTCCATTTACACTTAGCTCCCTCACATTTTTTTTTTTTTTTTTTTCTATTATTGTCAGGTGTTTTAATTCTAGAAATATTTAAAACTCCTCAATGTGTTATTACTGTTATTTCATGGAATTCGTATTCATTTAGATTTACATAGTTTCTTCTTAAAAAATTCTTCCTTGCATTTCTGTACTGTCATTTGGGAGCATTTTTCTTCTGCCTGTAGAACTATCTTTAATATTTCTGTAAGTTTAAATCTGCTAGTGGCAAATTCTCAAAGTTATAATTTTTCCCTCTTATTTTGCTTTCATTTTTGAGGGATAGTTTTGCTGAGTATATAATTCTATATTGACAAGTGGTTTTTTTTTTTTTTTTTGGTGGGGGGGCATCAGCACTTTGAATGTGTTACTTCATTTTTCACTTATTTCCCTAATTACTTTTTGCTCCTTTCCTCTTTTCACTCTGGAATCTAGGTCTCTCAAGCCCTCACTACCTTGGTAACTCTCTGATGTTTCGAAGAGATTAAAAATAAAATTATCCAGCTTTTCTAATTGTTCTTAGAAGAAGGTTACAAGCTAGTCTGTTATTTTTGGAATCATCAATTATACACAAAACACATACATACAAATGCATGTGTGTGTGTATATATATGTATATTTATTCTCTATATAACATTTTTATTTTCTAAATAAAAATAGAAATTCATGCACCTTATTTCCACCATACTGTTGTATCAGCACACATTCAGAACAAGGATGATCAGAAGAGGCCGTATTGGTATCTTTTGTCTTGTTCCCATTGTTAATTTCAACATTTCACGATGTTTGATTAAATATGTGATGTTTGATGAATGATATTTGCTTTTCTTTAGTGCTTCCTGTTAGATGAAGGAAATTGTCCTCTAAAACACAATTTGCTAAGTGTTTTTATCATGAATGGTAGTTGAATTATTTTCAGAGGCTTATTCTGATTCATTGAGGTAGTTATATGATTTTTTTTTACTTTTATATTAAATGTGATAAATTATATTAATATATTTTCTAAAGCTAAATCATCCTGCCATCACTGGCTTAAATCCTACGGGTCATAATATATATTCATTTTTATATATAACTCTGTTGCACTGTTGGTAAGAGTACAAATTAATATAATCATTTTTGAAAGTAATGTGGCTGCATTTTGTTTGTTTGTTTGTTTTGTTTTGTTTTAAATTGTGTCTACCTATGTCTTAAGTCCAAGCAATCCAATTTGGGTGTATCACAGAGGACTTCTGAGTCATGTTCATAATTAATCATGTAAAAAAATTTATTTCAGTTGATTGTATATCTGTGTGTATAGCTGTAGGGAATTAGATAGACTTTAATATGTATTACTATGAAATGGTTAAGAAAAATGTACAGGTTGGAAGCCCCTGGAGTCCTGAGGTGGTGGTGTGGGTTGCAGCCCCACCCACTGCCTACCATAACCAGTCCAGAACTGGAGCCAGAAGCCCCCGGGGTCTCCCCCACTTCCCCCTCTTCCCCAACAACATCTTAGAACATACTTATTACAAAAGAAAAAAAGAAAAAGAAAAATGTAGTGTACAAAAGTAGTTGTATAGAATGCAACATGTGGGCTTTTAAAAACAGTGCTAAGTGCAGACTTCATGAATACGACCCCAAAAGCACGGGCAACCAAAGGAAAAATAAACAAATGGGATTATATCAAACTAAAAAGCTTCTGCACAGCAAAAGAAACAATTAACAGAGTTAAAAGACAACCAACAGAGTGGGAGAAAATATTTGCAAAATATACATCTGACAAAGGATTAATATCCAGAATATACAAGGAACTCAAACAACTTTACAAGAAAAAAACAAGCAACCCAATAAAAAAATGGGCAAAAGAGCTAAGTAGGCAATTCTCTAAGGAAGATATACAAATGGCCAACAAACATATGAAAAAATGCTCAACATCACTCAGCATCCGGGAAATGCAAATCAAAACTACACTGAGATACCATCTCACCCCAATGAGGACGGCTAAAATCCAAAAGACTTTGAACGATAAATGCTGGCGAGGTTGCGGAGAAAAAGGAACTCTCATACATTGTTGGTGGGACTGCAAAATGGTGCAGCCTCTATGGAAAATGGTATGGAGATTCCTCAAACAGTTGCAGATAGATCTACCATATGACCCAGCTATCCCACTGCTGGGAATATACCCAGAGCAATGGAAAGCATCAAGTCGAAGGTATACCTGTTCCCCAATGTTCACTGCAGCACTCTTTACAATAGCCAAGAGTTGGAATCAGCCCAAATGTCCATCATCGGATGAGTGGATACGGAAAATGTGGTATATATACACAATGGAATATTACTCAGCTATAAAAACGAATGAAATACTGCCATTTGCAACAACATGGATGGACCTTGAAAGAATAATATTAAGAGAAACGAGTCAGGCAGAGAAAAAGAAATACCACATGTTCTCACTTATTGGTGGGAGCTAAAAAAAAAAAAAAAAAACAAAAGGAAAAAAAAAAAAAAAAAAAAACCCCCCCAAAAAAAAAAAAAAAAAAACCCCGGAGGGGGGGGGGAAGAAGATATAACAACTATACCTTTTTGAAGTTGTTACAACAAGCAAACG